ATGAAAAATAAATAAATAATTAGATAAAAACCAGAATGTACTCTGACAGACTTGAGAAATAAGAAACAAAATGAAAATAGTGCTCTTCCATTATTAATAAAAAAAATAAAGGTAAGTTAATTTTTAATGTGACGGTGCAATTTTTGAAACCCAATTTACAAATTTGAAGTCCTCTCCCAGCAATATTCTTCCACTCTGTGGAAGTCCAATAGAGCCAACAGAGTCAATACATCATTCCTTCTCAAATGCCTTCTTGAAACTCACCCTGGAGAGCACAAATTCTTGTCCAAGCTGCACATGATCAGCCAGGTTTCTTGTAAGGGTTCACTGATACCTTGAATAATTCTGCTGTCTCACCTTGAATTCTGCTGATTCACCCTGAATTCTGCAGATTCACCTTGAATTCTGCTGTCTCACTTCGAATTCTGTTTTGTCACCTTGGATTCTGCTGACTCTTCCTCTCCTGCCTTACACTTGGGTGTTGATGAAAAAGTCACAGCCGGGTTACTGCCACTTAAGAAGTCAACAACAGGTGAAACACCAGAGGTGCTCACACTGTTTCCACGTGGAAGCTGCAATGAAATCAATTAATGAATTAATTTTAGCTGGCTTCACTGACAGGTGAAACTCTGCCATGAATCCTCGCAGTGGTCACGCACTTCGGCAGGGAAATTTAGGGTCCTGGAGCTGTTGCACATGCAGAAGTTGTTTCCACTCCTGTCTGATGTGTCCTGATGCATTTCCAGCACCACAACTGATGTCTTCCTGGAGTTCTCTGCATCCTCTCTGGAGCCTGGAGCACCACCTGCTTGAAGAAGATGCAGAAATACTGAAACACACGAGGCCATGGCCTTAAAACTAATGGGTTTTCTGACAGGGGTAGAACAGAAAAAGAGTAAATTCATAACAACACAGGCCCTGTTGTGGTTTGAAAATTCCATCCCAGCCTTCTGTGTTTTCCTGATTGGGCTCACTGCTGTTAAAGCTGTAATTATTCACACGGTTTGTAGTATATTGTAGATACCCAGAGCACCTTGTGTTAATATATTAGGAATGAGACACAAAAAAAACCACCCATCTCCATATTCATAGTTGAACACTGCAAGTGAATTGCTGACAGAATGTTTCCTGGGGTGGAAAGAATGGAGAAGTTTCTGTTTTATGAGTTGCCAGAGGGAATAGTTTCTAATGCACAACTTGTGCATTTGGTGGAAAATGAGCACAGTCCCAAAAACAACACCCTTAGCTCAAGGTTTTCCATTATTGAGTTGTTTTTATTTTATTTACAATGCAAACAAAAGTGCTGATTATCATGATTCAGCACTCTCTAAGAGAGATGGGAGCAGTAAATAAGAGTAGGCAGTGAGACACAGGGACTTGCCACCACACCCAGGGCACAGCATTTCTGCAGGTTTCAGATATTTTGGGAATGATGTTCCTTTGCCATGGATGTGCACTTAGACATTTCTTGCAGCTGAGAAGAGGACCAGTGTCTGACTCTCTCCTCTGCTCTTTCGTGGCCTTCTTAAAACCTGCAGATGTTTTTAGGGTTTCTTTTAAACAGTGACTTTGCAACACCTGGAGACCATTTAGAACACTTAATATAGTCCCGAGCTCAAATGCTCATGTAGAAATGATTAGAACTCTGCAGAGGTGGTAGACACCAGCCTTATCTTGCAGGTATCATCTGTTCAGGCACATCTCTGGGGCAGGGCCATGCCTGAATCAACAGTCCCACCAGATGTTGTGGGGCTGTTCGAGACCAGATAAGGCAGAAAGCAAACATCCACCACGACTTCTCACCACTAACAACCTCACTGAATTTTTCATGGGGCTCCTTGACTACAATTCGGGCAACAATTGCCTTGCCTGAACTCACTGTTCAGTGCCATTAACCATAAAACCCTCCACATGATCCTAATCTGCTTGGTGGGAAGAAAGGCTCTCCAGGAATTGCCAGATCAGGCTTGGAGAAAGTTTCACTGACTTCACTGGGTGACCAGAAGCTGTGCTGCCTCCAGCCCTTTGGGACCACAAGCATTACCTGAAGGTGCTACAACATGTCTGGGTTCATTAATTGGGTTGGGTTCATTAATGAAGTTGGTTTATTACCCAAAGGTTTGGTTTGTATGGCCAGTTTTTGGTGGCCACACTCTCACTTCCCTGTGGCTGGACAGGGGAGAGAAAACTTAAAGAAAAATTAATGAATTGAGATAAGGGCTGGGACAGGTCACTCACCAAACACTGTTATGGGGAAAAGAGACTGAATTAGAGATATTGGTTGAATTGGTTGCTAGTGAAATCAGAACAGGGTAATGAGAAGTAAAATAAACCCTTAAAAACAGCTTTTCCCCCAACCCTTCGTCCTGTCCAACTCAACCTCCTCCCCTAGGAGTCATAGGAATACAGGGAATGGAGGCTGGGTCAGTTCATCACATGTTTTTTTTTCCACTTGTTCAGGTGGAGGAGTTGTTCCCCTGCTGCACCACAGGGTCCTTCCCACAAGAGACAATTCCCATGAACTGCTCCAAGGGGAGTCCATCCCCAGATCAACAGTTCTCCATGAACTGCTCCCACGTGGGTCACACTTCCATGGGGTCAGTCCTTCAGGCACAAGCTGCTCCAGTGTGGGCTCCTCTCTCCACAGGGTCACAGATCCCTGCCAGGACCTTGTTTCAGTGTGGGCTCCTCTCTCCACAGGTTCATATTCTCTCTCAGGCACCCCCCTCTTCTCCCTGGGCTCCTCCAGGGGCTGCAGGTGGATCTCTGCTCCCCCATGCCCTCCATGGGCTGCACAAGTTTGGGGTTTTTTCTCTTTATTCATTGGAGATGGATGCTTGAGTAACAAAAAACTGAATCATGTGAATCCTCCTCTACAGTCAAGACTGATAGTGTGAGAGAGGACAGACTGGATCAGAGGGGAAAACCTTTAACTGGAGTTCAGGAATGTTTCAAGGACATGGGTAATCTGGCTTCAAGTTCCCAGATATGTGTGGCCTTGGTCGTTCAATATCTCATGGCTTGACCTCTACAGTGAAAGCACCTGGCAGAATGAAAAGGAAAATTTAAGAGAAAACAAGAAGAATGTGGGGGACTCTGCCACTCTTTTAGCATAAGGACATTGGTCAACAGGACTTGGAAAGGCAGGAATTCCAGACTTGAGAAATCATCAAATGCAAAAGGAGTCCTTTGTAGTTCTACTCTCAATTGTTTTGCCTGGCAGCTTGAAGCTCACACAGCTGCTGTTTTCAGTTTTGAGGCAGAAAGTGCCACTGTCTGTGCAGGTTTCTGCTGGAAGTTGAAGCCATCCAGAAACCACGAGGAAGAACTCTGCCCACCACTGCACCAGAGCTGGAACAGCAAATGTGGTCCCATGGGTGGGCAAAAATAACCCTGATGAGAAATTCTGCCATTTCCATACACTCAGGATGATCTTGGACCACTCTTGACTCTCATCAGTCTGGCACATTCAGAAACCTGTGTGGGGACATTCTGTATGATGAAAGCCTAATTCACCATGGTATGTAAGTTTTTAACACTAATACCCCTTCTTACAAGGATTTTGTGTTAAGAAGAGGGTTTTTTTCCACTAAACTTGCATGGTTATAGAAATAAAAATGGCATCATGTACAAACTGGAATACAAAATAAAGAATGCATTTGAGATCTAGTACATGTGGGGAATTTTTTTTTTTTAAAGATTAATATATTTCGTATATCCATGCTAATGTGGTATTAGCATTTGTATTAAGGACACCTGAGTGCCCCAGCTGAGGACAGATCCCTGTGGTGCCTGAAACTCAACACACCCAGGGGTTAGAAATCATATTAGTTCCTTCCTTAGATGTTCTCAGACAAATAAATAGAAGAAACACATATTCTCATTTTACAGTCGGGCAACTGAGGCATGAAGAAAACTGAGGCACGCAGAAAGGAATTAATCACCATTCACAGAGCCTGAAGTACACACCAGTGTTTCTCAGTCTTACACCTAAGTGGTAAAGCTATTCTTTTTTTTCTACATATTTTCTTTGAGACTCTTTACATTTTGTTAGCTAAATACAAGTGACGGTGACTTCAGTCATGATCCAAAAGAGTTCACATATTTTCCTTGCCATAAAGGGATGCTGCTGTTCATCAAGGCACATCTGTAGGGCACATCTATGTATTTTTCCCAGGCAATTGTCTTCCCACTGCGTGGTGTCTCACTTCTGTCTTTATAACATATATAAACTATGAGCTGGAGCTCTTTTCCTTAAACTGGTCATAATAATCTCTCCCCACATTAAAAAAATAATAAAAAATCATGGCCATTTATTTGTAGAACTTGGCAAACAAGCTTCTATTTTCAAAAGAGGATGTCTGCACTAGTGAAGAGTGAGTTCCCCCCACGAAGAATCTGGGTGTGTTCCTGGGCAAGACTTTGGCAGATATGGGAGAGGAGATGAAAACACTGCAGGAAGTGGGAACCTGCCACTGACTGCTCCAAACAGCAGAGCAGTTTTATTGACAGATACATCCAAGTGCATATTTGTGCATGCTTGTGTGGAAACTGGGGACCCTGTCCAAGCCAACAGTAAAGGAAAATACAGCTGGATCCAGGGCACAGTGTCTCATTTCTAAGGATACTCTGCAGATTCCAAAAAAAGCAAAGCATAAGTTCTTCCCAGTGCCCATCTCACATTGCTGGAGAAATGAGAGGTACACAAAAGTAGAGAAGTTGCAGATATGGACTAAAAATTATCTGAAAGAAGAAATCCACAGTAACTTCCATGGCCCTTTGATGAGGTCTCCAGGGAGCAGATGATCAGCAGAGATAACATTGTGAAACTGTACAGCATTTCCTCTGTCTGTGTTACATATTTAGCAATGTACCATCAGGACTGCAGAGGACAGCAGTATTTCTTGATTATACAATATCATGTATTTATTCAAACTCTTCTGTGGAAGACAGGAGCATAATACATTATAAAACTATTTATTTTTCTGCCACTTCCAATTTTTTTCTCCAGTCGCTCCCAACTCGTTGGTTTCAACATCCATGATACATGAACTTCCCTTCAGCTTTCATTCAGAGATATCCACTAGAGCTGAAAAACAGGAAAAGTTTGGCTACAGCAGCAGAAAAAGCACATTCAGACCTGCACCTGAACATTTTGTTGTAAAATTAAATTATTTTTTTTCTGTAAAGGAGAAGAGTTTCCCTCCTCTTCAGCTTATCAAGAAAATTCTTAACATTGTTTTGCTGAATTACAGATCAACATGGGCTTTGGCTAACTGAGGTTGTCTTACATAACCTGCTGCTGTTCAAATCACTGGAAACAATCCCAAGACTTAGGTAGAAATTTGTGTCTTTCAGACAAATCTTCCTCCTCCTTATGCTGCCTTTCCCCCTTATTTATTGAACTGGTGACCAGAAAATGTCGGGAGCAGGGGAAAAGGCAACAGCAAAATGATTCTTGACTGACCCAGCAGAGGAACAGACCTTCTGGCACTTTTCCAGCAGCCCTGACATCGAGGTTATTATAGAAATCCAATCACATGCTTTACAATTAGAGCTTGGGTTATCAAAATCACTGGCTTGTTTTTCACCACGTCTAAGGTGAAAGGTGACAGAAAACAGCAAACTAACAGAGGACTGGTAAGTACAATTGTCAAGCAAGTGGGCAAAGCACAACAATTAAGGAATGGCCATTGGGATTAGGGTCCTCAGCCCTACATAAGACCTCTGACAATGGTTTTGAAGCATGACTGACAGAGGATCATGACTGCACTGTTTGGAGCTTGGATCCTGTAATGCCCCTCACCGGAGCCCTGACACAAAAGTAATTAAATAAATCATACAGAAAAATGGCACGTCCTTCACACTTGGGGCCACAGACCCTGCTCATCTCTCCATGACACACATGCGATGATGACGGGAAAAAAAATATTAAGGAATTCCAGTACAACCAACATTATAAAGCTCTAATTTCAGTGACAATTCTTCAGGCAAACACTGGAAAGAGTTAAAATGGCCCAGTAATTCCCCAGTCTTGTCTGTCTACTTTTTAATTCCATCACCTGCTGCCATCCAGAGAATCTCAGGTTAAATGATTTGATCGTGCCTGCTCTGTCCAGGGCCATGACACAGGGAGGCAGGAAGGTGCTGAGAATTTGAGTGGTGTCAGCACGGGGTGAGACCTCTGTGCTGCCCAGGGCCATTCCCTCACCCTGGGTCTTTACAGGAATTCAGGAGCTGGATGAGCTGGATGCCAGGGACACAAACTCAACCCACCAGGCAGCACAAAACAATGGGCAAACGCCTGCAAGGGTTGTGAACAATCTGAAGAGTGAAAGGAAGGTGCAGCCTCCCAAGACTGTGCTTAGTTTTGTTTATCACCAGCGATTAACCCTGCTCTAATTTACACCCTGCTAAGCACACCCGGGTCACAATCCGTTTGTGTGAGGAACAACACGGGATTCAAGATCCAACTCTTGTTTTTCATTCCTTTAAGCAACAGCTGACATAAAGTCTTGTTCCAGATTGTCTCTTAGCAGCCTGTGGAGGGATCATGTATTCTGGGCACCAAACCAGCATCAACACTCCCGGGTGGGGATGGATGGTGAGAGGAGAAAGACAAGTGGAGGTATGAGCATCTTGCCAAAACAAAACAGCAGAGCTTCCTGGCTTCTCCCCAGCCTCCACAATTTACTGTCCTTCTCAAAGGGAAGAGGAAACCCCAGCAAGGAGGATTCCTGCAGGCCCCTCACTGGGTTGTTCTGAATGCTGGGGAGGAGAGTGCCTGCCCTGGTTGTGCAGGAATGGGTGATTATATCACACAGCACAGCCAGTGGGCACATCCAGGGAATATGTTACTTAGGAAGTGAAGCAGTTGCAGTGAGCAGAAACTTGAACCATTTGCATCTACCTGGGAAGAAATAATACCTTTTTTTCCTGTGCAGAAGTACAAAAAGTACATGGCAACACAACGGAGACATGTTCTTAAGTAAACAAGTGTTTAAAAAAAAAAGCTGTTGTAAGAATGCAATGGTTGGGCATTCAGGTTAATGCGTTTGCCAGGGTTTCTACAGCAACACAGTGAATTAAGCTTCAGTCATGATGAAATAGACTTCTGTTTTGACTATGTAGGAATTCAATTCACATGTCTTCCACTCTCCAGCTCGCTCAGTCTCCTTGACTCTTTTCAGGGGAGAGAAGGAGAACGAAGGAGGCACCACCCAGAGTCCATTCAGCCTGACAATGTGGCTGCTAAAGTGCACACGTGTGGACTGACCACTTCACTGTGCTTGCAGCACAAATGTTACCTCCTAAAGGTGAATCTGCTGCTGCTCAGCGAGCTTGGGAGATGCTGAGTGCTTCAGAGTCCCGTTGGCTTCAAAGGGAAATCCAGTATTTTCTACAGCCTTCCTCCACTCTAGGATCAAGACCTCTGAGAAGCAGTTCAAAACAGCATTGCAAACTACAACTCACATTTTAAAACTCTGAGCCTTTTTGTGCCTTTTTTTCAGGATGCTTTGGACATCCTCCTTTGCCTGCCCTCATGTGTTATGTAGAAGAAACATAACTGGTTTATTAATGCTAGCTCCAAAGTCACATACACATGCATAGACACACTCTCAGACAAATCCCTCTCTCTATTACAATAAATATCTCATAAAAAATTACATACCCTGAATATATTCAGCAGCAAAATAGCAGCTGTTGCATAGTTTGAGGGTTTTTTATTTTTAACTTATTAATATGCTGATCAGATTCTTGTAATCAGAAACAAGGGACATTAATCTCATAAAATATGTAAACTGTATTTTATCTGGGAAAAAAAAAAAAAAAGGGAAAATGTCAAAGCTGTAGCTTCTTTCTTTTATTTTCTTTGCTTCATGAGGTGAGAAGACATCTGCAGGTGGAGTTGAAAGTGACTGCAGGTTGCCACCACAGGCTCAGAGCAGAAGATGAGAGATCAAGTGATCACAGACAGCTTTTAGCGCACGGTTTAATTTTTGTCCTGATCAGTGGCTGCTTGGAGAGCAGTTCTGAGTCACAGTTCATGTGAGCAGAGCTGGTGGGTGCCTCTACACCCACCTCAGAAGAGCCATGTTTAGAAAAGGTATCTCTTGTAAACACAGACAAACAGAGATTCAGGTCAGCACCCACAAGGAGAGTGGGACCCTTTTTAGTGACTAAAATAAGTATTTTATAGCACCACTAAACAAGGAGAAGAGGGGCTGGCCTTCTCACTCGCTCCCATGACAGTTTCTTCAGAAGAGATGCCAAAGATTGCTAAGGAAAGGGGCAAAGGCAGGAGCCATGAATTGGCAGGGAAGAGATTCAGGGACTTTGGTATCAAATCTGAGGTGTTTTAAACAGACCTGATAGGGAACAAGAAGCTATTTGGTGGTTTCTGAAAATCTCAGCTTCCCCACAGCAAACTGAACAACATCAAAAACTTGGGGTAGCTATGTGTTTAGCCAGTGACCAATTTAGGAGAAAAGAACCTGAAAATTCAGAACCAAACAAGGCAGAGGTGCATTTTGAAATTAGACTCAACAAATGTTGATATTTTATTGAGCTGAGGACACCGAGCTCTTTAGATGTTTTTACACTTTAATCAATATCCTTCCCTATGTTCATTAAAAACAGGAGTGAGTGTTTCAGACCCATGAGCAGGGAGAGAGCAATGCAAAAGATACATGAGTTGGATCAGTTAAGTTGTTTTCTAGTGATGAAACACAATTAAAAATAATTGGGTATTCTTGGGCTTGCCATACATCTCTTCAGAGGGAACAGCACTCTGGTCATCTCATAGCCACCAAAAGATACCTTAACACTGATGATTGCATCAAATCTGGTTTATCCTGGCCCAGCAGGATTTGTCATCTGACCTTCCATGAGCAGATCCAGTCACATGAAGTTAAATCTACTGAGGCCAGTCCAGTTATATGCACAAAAAAAGCAGAAAAACCTTTCCAGAAGCTTGGAGACAATAAGGTATTGCTTCCAATTTATTTATTTATTTATTTATATTTACATTTACAATTATATTTATATTTATATTTATATTTATATATTTTTATCTATTTACATATTATAATATATATATAAGTAATATATAATTACAACCGTATAGGAAAACATGAGTTGGTGAAGCTAACAACTAGAATTTTGCTTTGAGTTTTCCAAATTAATGGCACCTACAGCTGCAGCTTTTTTATTTGTTTCCACCACTAACCTGCCGTAAATTAATTGCAAACTGTGTTTTAGATATCAAATGCATACCTGAGTCTGAATGTAAATTTTATGTCTGGAGGAAACTTCTGGTTTAATATCCCTGCACAAGAGGAAAACTTTGAGAAAGATGCCCCACGAGCCATGAATTCTGTCTGAATTAAGGAAGCATTTTTGCCTGGGTTTTTTGTTTGTTTTTTTTTTTTTTTGGCAGGGTGTTTGCAGTGCTGCATTAAGTACCTACCTACCCTTAACACCCTGAAACAGATAGATTTAGGATTTGTTAGAAGCCAGATGAACACGTGGGGTAAAACACCTGTGCAAAACCTGTGTCCTGCCTCTTTCCTGGCTGTCAAAAGTGGGGACAAGGGATTGTGTTTGCCTTTGGTGGGTTCTGCCATCCTTATGTTCTGGGGTGTGGATGCAAATCGTGCCTCGTGGTGCAGCTGAGAGAGGAGCTTAACAGAAGGTAGAACCAGTGCCCCTGAGGACAGCCAAAGATGCAGAGGCAGCCCTGGGCTGTTCCACAGGCAACAAGAACAACAGCTTCTGTAGTCAAATAACAGCTCAGGCAACAGGTTCTCACCTGCACCTGCTGCAGTCAAAATGTGCCAGTTTCATCACTGAGTGCCCCACAGTGACCTCCTACCTTTCTCTGAACCAGAACTGCAGCCACAGGAAGAAATAACTAAAGGATTAAGAAAATTTTAACTGGATTTTCTCTCTCTCTCTCTCTCTCTCTCTCTCTCTCTCTCTCTCTTTTTTTTTTTTTTTTTTGGTTCATTTCTGTAGAATATGTTTTATATCTGATAACCTTTCTGGACAGATCATTTATGATCCATGGTCACTGAAATGAAAATCAGA